TTTGAAACTTTAAACCAACTATTTTAAATATGTTCAAAGACCTAAAGGAAGCCATGTCTAATGAACTAAAGGAAAGTCTGAGAACAATGTCCCACCAAATAGAGAGAATCAATAAAGATATAAAAATTATAAAAGGGACCAAACAGAAATTCTGGAATTGAAAAGTACAAGAATGGAAATGAAAATTTCACTAGAAGTTCCCAATACCATATTTGAGCAGGCAGAATAAAGAATCAGTGAACTTGAAGATGGGGCTGTTGAGATTATCCAGTCTGCGGAACACAAAAAATAATGGAGAAAAATGAACAAAACCTCAGAAACCTGTGGGCACCATCAAGCATGCCAACATGTACATCACAGGAGTTCTAGAAGGAAAGGAGAGGGAGAAAGGGATATAAAGAATATTTAAGGAAATAATGACTAAAACCTCCCCAAATTTGATGAAATCCATCGATCTACACATCCAAGAAGCTCAACAAACTCCAAGTAGGATAAACTCAAAGAGATCTACAGCTAGATACATCAAAATCAAACTGTTGAAAGCCAAAGACAAAGAATTTTGAGAGCAGCAAGAGAGAAGTAACTCATCACATACGAAAGGGCCTCAATAAGATTAACAGCTAATTTCTCATCAGAAACCATGGGGCCAGAAACAGTGGATGGTATATTCAAAGTAGCAAGGGGAAAATAACCCTGTCAACCAAAAGTTCAATATCTGACAAAACTATCTTTCAAAACTGAAAGATAAATCAAGACATTTTCATATAAACAAAACTGAGAGGGGTGGTCTTTAGCAGACCTTCCCTACAAGAAATACTGGTGAAGTGAAAGACACTAGATAGTAACTTGAATCAACATGAAGAAATAAAGAGCACTGGTAAAAGTAATTACATAATTAAATGTAGGAAATAGTATGAATCCATTTTTTTGTTTATAACTTCTTTTAAAATCTGATTTCAAAGAGAACTGCATAAAAGCAATAACAACAAATCTATGTTCATGGGAAGAAAATGTATAAAGATGTAATTTGTGACAATAACAACATACAGGAGAGGGGAATGGAACGATATAGGAGGAATGTTTTGTGTAGTATTGAAATTAAGTTGGTATTGATCCAAACTAGATTGTTATAAACTGAGATATTAAGGGTTACTTCCAGGGCACTAACCAAGAAAATAAGTTAAAAAATATATAATAAATGAAATAACAAGATAATTAAAATAGTACACTAGAAAATAACTATTTAACACAAAAGAAGGCAGTAGTGGAGAAATAGAGAACAAAAAGACTTATGAAATATAGAAAAGAAACAGCAAAATGGCCGACATAAATCTTACTTTACCCAATATGTTAAATGTAAACAGAGTAAACTTTCCAATGAAAAGGCAGAGATTGGAAGAATATATTAAAAAATATGATCGTACTATATGTTGTCTACGAGAGACTCAGTTTAGATTTAAAAGTATAAATAGGGAGAAAGTACAAGAATGGAAAATGTTATAGCAATAGCAACCAAAAGAGAGCTGGAGTTCCTCTACTAATATCAGACAAAATAGACTTTAAGACAAAAATTGTTACCAAAGGCAAGAAGGACACCTTATAATGATAAAGGGTCATTTCATAAAGAAGACATAACAATTATAAACATATATGAACCCAGAGATAGAGTCCCAAAATACTTGAAGCAAACCACCTTTGGAGAAGGCAGCTCTGTCCTAAATAGTTGACCCCCATGACCACTAGGGATTTATTCCCTTGAGCTAGAGTTTTGCCTCCTTTAAAATTCTTTGTTAAAGTAGACATATAGACCTTAAACCACCATTTGCATTAATACCTTAGCTGAAATTGGTTTAAGATCCTTTGGGGCATTGACTGCTAGTGACAGAGACAAAGGGTTGAGCTATTTTTGATAGAACATACAGGTGTGGCTTGGAATGGGCCCAGGGGGTAGAGTAGGGAAGAGGGGAGTCCAAGATTGGATGGAAGTGTTAAGAACAGAGAAAGAGTACAGGATGGAGAGAGGTAGAAGAAAGCTAGTGTATCACAGAGGAACAGAAAAGAACCCAAACAGACTGTCAACTAAGATAAATGCTAAACAAGCAACAAAACAGCTGGGGCAGGGTGTCTGGGTGGCTCAGTCAGTTAAATCATCCAACTCTCAGTTTTGGCTCAGGTCGTGATCTCAGGTTGTGAGATCGAGCCCCGCATCAGGCTACACGCTCAGTGTGGAGTCTGCTTGAGTTTCTCTCTCCCTCTCCCTCTGCCCCTCCACCCTGTACATGTTCTCTCTATCTCTCTCAAATAAATAAATAAATCTTAAAAACAAACAAACAAAAACCCATAAAAACAGCCAGGTCTTTGGTTTGGTGTTGAAGCCCCTGGTTTGGCAACTCAGGGCTGAGGGCAGCAGCGGATGCCAGAAGCAGCACAAGGAGTCGGAATAGGGAAGAAAATGTGGGGCCAAGGATGGTAATGAGCACAGATCATTCTTAGGTAAACACCCTGGTACCAGGGCTCAGCTGCTGTCTGCGTCCTGGAGAACCACACTCAGAGAGGCAGAGTGGATTATGTGGATTATGTGGAAGCAGACCATAGATACTATAAAATATGGGTACTGATTGGAAAACCAGGGAAACCCACATGAACAAAGGAGAACAGGGCCAAGAGGCAATGATGAAAACAAGCCCATATGCCAGGCAAATGGGCTCAGCAACTGGGTACTCAAATGAGGTAGTGTTTGTGAGAGCACCCACTTACGGGGAGATGCTTAGTAAGTGTTAGCTGGTTCTCAATCTGAAATTAGGACAAGGCTAGTGGTCTGGGCAGTGACTCAGTGTTGACAACAATGGTAGCGCCTACCTGTTAGCACCTATGTGTGCTGGGCATTGTGCTAAGTATTTCACATTCATTGCCTCATTTAATACTTAAAGTGTCCGTGTGAGGTAGACACTGAAACCTCTGATCTACAGACGAACAGGAAACCTGGCCAGGTGACTTACTCAAGATCACTGCAGCAATGTAAATGGTTTGGAGCCAGAGGTTTCTCTGACAGCACTCTGCCTGGCCCTGGGACAGGCTCATAGCCACAAGCGTGACTTTGATCACCTTGATAGCGTAAAGGGAATGGGGAGAGAAGGGGAAGCTTCAACCTGGGGACAGAGAACTTCTCAGAGTCTCTCTGAAGTCCCATCCTCCATACTTGTTTCAAGTGGGGTTAGAGAAAGAATCAGCAGGGGCCTAAAGATCCTTCCTGCCCTCTCTTCTCTGCCTGGACTTTTTTTTTTTTTTTTTAATTTTATTATGTTATG